AGATGGAAGTCTTGTCTTGTTAAGTAAAGACACAGTTAATATATGGACTATCTATACATTACAACAATAGAGGGTGAATCTATGCTTTAGATAAGAATTCCCAGCTAAAATGGTTAATTTTTCTGTGGAGCCCTCAGCTTTGTTTATTCTGTTGTCCCATCCAGGCTTTTTCCTCTAATAAATCTGTGGGTTCCTGCATTTTGTTTGTTGAGTCTTGTCAATTAGTGAGTTCTTTTGTTTTATCTCTGAGTCTCTGTTATGTGGTGAATGTGCTGACTTTGCTAGTGTGAGTTAACTTTGGCCTGTAGCTTTAACAAGGGGTATGTAAGTAAAACTAACCTTAAACTAACTTAGTCTACATATGCTTCTAATGCTAATTTGGTTTATGCTAACTTAATCTATATGTTAATTTTGGCTTAAAAACAGACAGGTGGGGGAGTCTTAAACTTCCTGATCCTCCTGTCAGTCTTAGGGAACCACATTCCTACAAGATCACTAATTGGCTTTATTGCAATGGTTGGGGGTGATGTTTTACCCTTACACGGTACAGTAATAACAGTAAAACTCACGGCAGAGAAATTGAATACCGGCCAGTTCAAGGACACAAGGGAGAGCTCGTAAACTGGGCCTTGCCTCAGTTTCTTCCCAGTCCAGGCCTTGCCTTAGAATGGGAGGCAGCATCCTTACCAGCTTGTGTTGCCTGCATGGCCCCGTCACTGTAACAGACTACTATAGACTGGGTGACTTGTAAACAACAGAAATTTATTTCTCTCAGTTCTGGAGGCTGAGAAGTAAAGTGAAGGTGCTTTCAAACTATTGGGTTGTTGGGAAAGTCGTGACACATTTTCGCGAAGAAAAACAGAAAAATACATCATGACTTTCCTGATGACCTAATAGATATATGATAAGGGCTTGTTTTCAGGTTCATAGATGGTTACGTTTTCAATGTGTCCTTATAAATCAAGTAAATGATAGATAAACATCCCTCTGAGGTCCCTTACATAAAAGTACCACTGTGTCCCTCCAAAATTCCTATGTTGGAACTTAAACACCAGTGGGACAATATTGAGATGGGGGTCTTTAGGAAGCAATTTTGTCCGGATGGAGGAAACTGCTTGCGCCCTTTTGCCCTTTGATTTTCTACCATGAGCGGACATAATATTCAAGGTTCATCAGACATCAGCGCCTTGGTCTTGGACTTCTTAAACTCTAAAATGGAGAGCAAGACATTTATATTTTTATAAATTACCCAATTGCAGGCATTTTGTAATAGTAACAGGAACAGGAACAGATTAAGACAGATTCTAATCTTATCCATGAGAATTCTGCCCTGATGATCAAATCATCTATCAAAGGCCCACCTCATAATACCATCTCACTGGGTTTAAGATTCCTTTTTAATTTTGTAATTGCCAGAGGGCACACACATTTGTCGCTTTACAAACGACCCGGAGACGGTCTTCTCTACAGCACTTTATTTACCCCAGGCTCTGTACAGTCTTCTTCCTCCTCTCTTCCCCGCCCCAGGGCCTTATAAATGGCCCCTGACCAATTGGCATGTTGGTCACGAGCACGGAAGCCAGTCCTCGAAAGAGGATTGGTTGCATGCGGTGTTCCCATGCTCTCCACGCTCCCCACTGCCCTACTTCCTTAAAGTTGTTTACTGCTTTGAGCGCTCAGCGGGCTTCCGTTGAGCGTCATTTTGAAATAGGTGCTGAGGGCAATGGGCAGGGGCGCTCCACACACATTCCCTTGAGAGAGACATAGAGACAGAAGCAGAGACTGAAGGAAAAGGAGAAAGCAATAGATGCTATTGATGGGTGCTTTCTTCCAGTGGGATATAATCACACCACACTCCTTTCCCACTTCTCCATTCTGCTGAGATTTTGGGCACACATCACATATACCCAGTGTGTGTTTAAGCTACTGAATCCAGAGTGTGAATAGCTTGGCTGTCTTTGTGGGATCCAGTTCCCTTAACCACTAGATAACAAGGTTAACCTAGAGAGTTAGGATTTCAACCTATGAAATTTACAGGACAGGGACCAGCAGTTGGTGAATTGGCTGTATTGCTGGACTCCCATGTAGTCGACTGTGGTTCAAGTTCCAGATCCGGTGGCTAAACTCATGCTGGGCACATGTGTGTGCATGCCCAACAACCTGAGAGGTTCTTTCTTCTCTGTTCTTTCTCAGGAATTTAGCTCTGTTGCACTTGAGCCTGGCATGTTTTTCAAGTTTCCAGTCTGGGACTTGAACTGCGTAGTCAGCCATGTGGGATTCTGTAGCCTTAACTACCATGCTATGGGCAGTGAGGAAAATAGATTAGAATTAGTCAGGGGAAAAGTCAGAGTAGTCAATGTAGTCCCTTCAGGTTAGTAGTAATAATTACCTGACAAGAGTTGTGAAAGTTGAGATGGATTTTAAAAGCTGGAATTTAGTTATCCAGAAAGTGCTATTGACCAGACTTGGTAAATAAATGGATGTTGAAACAAATGAGGATATTTGAGATAGCTATTGAGGAGATTTAATAGAGTAGGAAACTTCGGAAAATAAGTGGATAAAAGTAAATAAATTCAATAAAAGTATGTGATAAATTTTACTTTCAGCATTTGAGTTTGACTTGCTTCTAAGACAGCCATTTCAATACAGCCTTAAGAAGGAAGGAAAGTGGAAGTATAAAAAGAGAGAAAGAAAGAATTAAGGAAATAAAAAGACAGAAGGAAAACCAATGACTTACTGTACTTTGGTTCAATACTGAGGGGTTTAGGATCAGTGATCATTAGAAGATCAAAAGTTGAATTATTGTAACTAGAGAAAATGAGAATATTGTTAAGAAGGAAAGTGTGGTCAGAAATTGGAATATAATCATTCCTTGTTTCAAAGGCCATTGGTCTTGAGAGTTGGCAAGATCAACTTTAAGCAATGTTGTTAAAGAAGGTGACATAAGGGAAGGATAGTATTATAATAAGTATCTCTTTATTGTCTGGATAGGCTGTACTGTGAAAGCGAGTTATAAATGTAAGTGAGCAGATAAAGCAAAACAAAACAATATCCATAATGATAATAAAGACCAGATTTGACGTTAAACAAGAGGAAAACTGGACAAAACAAATGAAACAAATATTATTCATTCCTTTTATTTCTTTTACTTTGTATGTATTTATTTATGTAGGTTTTTGCCATGGAGCACGCACATTTGCTGGAGAGCAAGAGACAGAGACTAAGGGAAAGTGAGAAATTACCCTTAGGAAGGATGTTCATGCCCAATCTTTTCTCAACCCTCCTCCTGCATGCACACACATATGTCCAATTCAGGTTTCAAGCCATCAAGTTCAGGACTCAAACTGCAGTAGGCCATGTAGGAGTTCAGTACCTTAACCACTACACCACCCACTGGCCCAAAATATTTTGCAAAACTTTAGGTTGTCAGAATAGTCATACCTCAGTTTTCTGTTTTTTATGAGAAAATGAGTCATCACTTTTCTGACAACCCAGTATTAGTCTTGATATATATAGGATAGAATTTATCAGAAACAAAAGTTTGACATGGTTTAATCAGGGACTTGAAAGTTTAAAAGTCCCAGAAAACAAAATATGGGCAGATATCCAGGTGTTTACTACTAGCTAGATAGAGCACGGAGTTTCCAGTAATAGCTCAGGTTCTCAATTGGGAGATATAGTTCACAGCAAAGAAGTAGGCCTGAAATCATCTTGGAGTTAAAGCTACTCTAGATCCTTCCCAACAAATCTTTAAAACAAAAGTCTAAAGTGATCATGATGATATGCCAACTGCTTATTAAAACAAAGCTCAAAATACCCAAAGACTGAACAATCTAGACAATTGGAAAAGTTTATTCACAATATCAATGTTTACTAGATAGGCCCAAAGCAAAAGATATAACATAAATAAATAAATAAATAAATAGGATGTAACCCATAGCAGAAAACCAACTGATGGACAGAAACAGATTCAGAAACAACAGAGAATATGTGTAAGTAAAAGTTTCCCTGAGTAAAGTTGAAAAGACCCTACAAGTCTTCATTCAAGACTGTGGGAAAAGGACAGAGGACAGAACTCAATGTGAGTTTAGCTCTGCTGAAACCAAAAGGAGAGGCTTAAAGATTTGGGGTAAAGAGATCATAGGTCAATTGTATTACATAATTGGCTTTACTTGAAAACTTTCAAATCTCTTCCTGACAGTGGTTAATTTTATAGCATGGAACAAAAGGCCACCAAAGTTAGATTCTCTCTTACAGAGATAGGGAGCTAGAAGTTTAATCTTCCTTGATGACTACATTTCAAAAGGAAAGCTTCCAGGTCTTTGAGAAAGACAATCTTGGGTCATAAAACTGACAAGAGGTTTTAACAAGATTTACATCTCAAAGGGAAAGTGAAAGAAATTGCAAGTATCTGTTTTCTAAAGTAAATATTTTATGAAAAGAGTGGAAAGTGACCTCCCTCCCACCTTCAGCCTTCTGGGCTTTAAAGGACAAAAGGGAGAATAGGGGGGATGCAGGGGCCTAGAGGCAGAAAGAAGTCTGATTTGGTTAAGTTGCAGGAAATTGCAATCCTGTCTTAGTCATTGATGAACCTGGGAAAGATGTTAAAATAGCTGATTAACAAATTTCAAATATTTAAAGTAAAACATGAACACATTAAAGAGCGACATGGAAGGAAGAGCAAAATTAAATCTGTGCAAATGGAAAGTATATCTTAAATGAAGATTGTACTACCTGAAAGAAAGAATGAATAATAGAGAGCTTGAAGACAAACCAACAGGAGCTAATCAAAATGAAACCCAGAGGAAATAAGACAGAGCATTTTCTGATGGAAACACAACTACCTGTGGAGGAATATTAAACATGTATTAATTATAGCCCTCCCTAAAAAGAAGGCTCGTGAGAAATATATTTGAACAAATAATGACTATTCCCCCCAAATTTGATAGAAAATATTAACACAGATCCAAGAAGCTCAATTAATATTAACAAGCAAAATATTTAATATGTCCTCAACTAATAGTACATAGCTCAATCAATTTTTGAAAATCATTAATAAAGATGAGTATTAAAGTGTCCAAAGGATCATCTGATGGCATGGCTCTTAAGGTGGCTGGTTCCCACGTAGTCCAGTGCATGGCTCTAGTCCACGACCCAGTGACTTGGAAAACACTCTGGGTGCATGTGAGGGAGAAATGGAGAAGAGATTATAGTGACCATCCCTCATGGGAGGGAAGAGTGCTTTCTCACTTTCCCCTCTCTGTTTCTGTCCAGGAAGTGCAGGCACCTTCTGGTAAATTAAAATAAATAAATAAATAATTAAAGTGTCCAGAGAAAAACAATTCATAATATATAAAGGAACAAAGTTTTTAAAAAATTCTTGAGTGAAATAACATACTAGAGGATTAAAAATAAAATGACATTTTTAAGGTGCTGAATAAAAATATTGTCAATCTAGAAATCTATAAACAGAAAAAATAGTCTTCAAAACAAAGATGAAGCGTATTTTGTAAAGGATAAATGCTACAACAACTATTAAAATTCTGCAGGTCAAAGAGAAATAATAGCATATAGAAATTCGTATGTGCAGAAAGAATGAATAACACTGGAAACAGAAAATATTAAATGTGTCTGTATTTCAAAAATTTCATTGAAAAAGAATTGTTTAAAATGTCAATGTATTGTGATATTTAGTATATATATAGAATTAAAGGTTATCAAAAAATAGCACAAGTGGGGCCTGCAGGTGGCATGGTGTCTGAGGTGCTGGACTCCCACATGGTTGACCATGGTTTGAGTCCCAAAGCTGGCAGCTTGCTTTCTCACTTTCTTTTTCTTTCTCCCCGCTGGTCAAATTTTAAAAAAGGAAATAAATAAATAATAAAATCATTTCTTAAAACACACACACACACACACACAGAGAGAGAGAGAGAGAGAGAGAGAGAGAGAGAGAGAGAAGACAGGGAGAAATGAAAGTGAAGTGCTCAGAGTACTCACTGATGTAAATAAACACAGTGATGTGCATAATGAGCCGAAGCTGCTATACTAACAGCATTGCTGATGTGAAATTGAGAAGAGGCGATCACCTTTGCTCCTCCTGGATTCATGCCTGCCCAGCACATAGCTGGTTTCAAGGCTCATAGATTAAATTCAAAGTGATTTATGTGAAAGCAGATTGTGCTTACACATACTAGAAGTTTTCAAAATTTCATGGTAAATGACTGTTACAGGAAAACTACACATGGATTTCAATGTTTTTGCACCAAAATAAACTCACTTTTCACAAACTTTTTGAAGTTTCCTTGTACATATTGTAAATTCTGAATAACTACTAAGTAATGATAATAGAACAAGAATTATGGGACCAGCAGTTAAGCGTAATGACCATATTGCTGGACTCCCATGTAGTTGACCACAATTCAAGTCCTGGACTCGGTGGCTTCAACTCAAGGCGGGCACATGCATGTCCAAGATCCCGAGGGGAGAATGGAAGAGAAGGGATTGTGGTGTGGCAATCCCCTCAGGGAGGTGATTTCTCTCTTTGTGTCTCTCTGTCTCTCTCAGTCTTTCTGGCGAGCGCATGTGCCCTAAAGCAAAAAAACCTCTAAAAAAAAAAAAAAAAGAAGAAAGAAAAGAACAATAATTAAATAATATCAAAAACAAAAAGAACCCTGACCAAGAATCCAATAGAAAATGGAATCTGAATGAGGGTAGGGGGTTTTGTTAATTAAACTAAAACAGGAAATGAAAAAAATATGACGAGAAACAAACAAAAGAAAACCTAAATACGTAGAAATGGAAACAGATGACAGGATATGGTAACCAAATAATTAAATGGTACCATAAGACCTGGGTTATGGAGGCATGTTATATAATTTCTCGCAAAGAGACACTACGAAGCTTATTACCAAATATACTTTGTCACCACAGGAACATGGGGTTAGACTGATACGCAGTGTAGTCATGCTGGGAAGATTCATTTGTAGTGGAGGTATACAGTGATTAACTGTAAAAAAAAATAAAAAATAAAATTTAAAAAACAAAAATTGTGACATGTGTTAGAGCTTGACTTGAACCCTGTCAGTCCAAGTCCAAGCAAAGCTTGGGCTTCAACTCCTTGCTATTTTCTACATTTATTGGGTCATTGAGAAAGTCATGATGCATTTTTTACATAAAAAAAAATCATGATTTTTCTGATGCCCCAGCCATATACAGATTACACTACATGGAGTAAACTAATCTATACTTTATCGTTTATTTCATCTTCGAAGGTTATAGTTATTTCTGTCTGCTTTGTTGCTCTTTCTCAAATAGTCTCTAGTTACATTCAGATGTTTGCAATTACGCACATATTAAGGCAAGCCCATTTTGATTCAAGAGACTATCAAGAATTTAAACCTTGGGAACCAGCAGTTAGCGTAATGGCTATGTCGCTGGACTCCCACGTGGTCGACCGCGGTTCGTGTCCCGGACCCGGTGGCTTAAAACTCACGGCGGGCGCGTGTGCATGCGTGCCCAAGATCCCGAGAGGAGAATGGAGGAGAAGGGATTGCGGCGTGACCATCCCCCTGGGGGGTGATTTCTCGCTTTCTGTCTCTATGTCTCTCTCTGTCTGTCTGGCGAGCGCACGCGCCCTACAGTGAAAATCTCTCCAGAAAAAAAAAAAAAAAAAGAATTTAAACCTTCAAAAGAATTCAGTTGTTCCTTGCTATTAATTAATAATTAAATGAAGGGGTCACTGGGTGGTATGGTGGTTAAGGGTACTGGACTCAAACATGGCTGACCGTGGTGGTTTGAGTTCTAGACCTGATGCCTTGGTTTCTCATTTTCTCTCTCTCTCTCCTTCTCTGGTCAAATTAAAATAAGTCAATAAATAAATAAATAAATAAAAGTTTAAAAAATTATTTAAAAAAAAGAAAAGAAAAATAATAAATGGTAAAGAACAGAGGCACTTTCAGGAGAAAGGATTTTTTTAGAAGTGGATATATGTGTGTGTGCATATTTATATACATGTGCGTTTGCGTTTGTGTGTTCATGTGTGTATAAATGTTCCACAGATGTTACTCATTGTTCCTGAATTGAAAGATTTTTTTTTTCCCTAGAGGTTCATTCACATGTATCTGTGTGTGTGCTCTACTACCAGATGGAAAAGTGCTCGAGAGTTGAACGTGAAAATTTGGTAGTTACTGGTGAGAGTAACAATAAATTTTGGATTTTAATTCAATGAATTTCATAAATATTTTATAAACTTATAGCATGAGAAGTAAAGGAACAACATATATTCTGTGGTGTGAATATAATACAGTGACTTTAATACAGAAGCCGTGAATAACTTACTAAGAGAAGTTGCATTTCATAGATCATTTCCTTATATTTTACTGAACTTAAAATTGAATTAGAGCATTTCTGTTCACTTTGTTCCAGACTCACCTTGGAGACCATTTAAAGCTTTACTAGCTAGGAAATGCAAGGGAATGATTATTTGATTTAGGGGGAGTCAGTCATTCAAATTCTTCACTACTGTTCTATTTGCTTAGTCCACAATGATTTTTACCTTAGACATTAATGGGTGATGAATGAGACTCAAATGCAGGCTAATGACTGAGCCTGCCAAGGAATGTTCCTGGAAAAGATGCATCTATGTCACACCATTCCAAAGTAAGTTTTCAGAAATGCAGTGAGAATTTGATTATAACACCACTGTTACTTTTGTCTGATAAGGAGACAGGTACAATACTAGACATTTCAGAATAGTCAGAGACAAGCGAGATGGAGACCTAAAACTTTCCTAATCAATGGAAAAAAGCTTCTCATCTCACATAGTATTCTCATGGAGAATGAGTAAGATAATTCACAGCTGACAGTTCTAATATGAAACTATACACATCTGATGAGTCCATGCTTGGCTATTTCCTTGCTGTATTGGCTGGGGTCTCCAGAGAAACAGAACCAAAAGGATGAATATATATTTAAAATAATTAGCTCATATAATTATGAGACAGAGAAATACCATAAAAGGCTATCTGTAAGCTGGAGAAACAGCTGACACAAGTAATTCTAGTACTAAGCCTAAAGTAGGAACCTGGAAGACTATGAAAGAGAGGAGCTGGCTTAGATGAGTTTGAAGCCTAAAGGGGGCCCTTGGGAAATAACAGACCTGAGCCCTTGGACAGCCATTGGTATGAGTTTGGGGTCCAAAGATGAAAGAAATTGGAATCTAGCTGGCTGGAGAGATGTATGGGACAGAAGTCAGCAGGACAAATACATCAAGGACTGTGTCACTGAGCAGGATTGAAACAGGCAGACATGTAGGAGTGGAACACACATAACACTCTGCTAGTAAGGGTGGAGAGGGAGGGACAGAGAGAGGAAACAGAACTCTCATGTCCTCTGTCTATGCCTTCCACATTTCTAGTCAAGTAGATGGTGCCCACCATATTGAAAGTTGTCTTTGTTTCTCAGCTAATCTTATCTGGGTACTGGCACAAAAATATATACAGAGGCCAATGGAATAGAATAGAGAATCCAGAAATAAACCCCAACTGATTTTTGACAAAAGGTACAAGATAATGCAGTGGAGAAAAGAAAGTTTTTTACAGCAAGGCCTGATGGAAGAATCGGCATTCACCTGCTGAAAAATAAAACTGGACTCCTATCTCTTGCCCTTATCAAGAATCAACTCAAAATGGATCAAAGATTTAAATGTAAAGCGTCAAACTATAAAACTATTAGTATAATTTAGGGGAAACTCCTGAAGACATTGGGATAGGTAAAGATTTCTTAAATAAGATCCCTAAAGCACAGACAATAATCTCAAAAATAGAAAAATAGGATTACATCAAGTTAAAAAGCTTCTTCACAGCGAAGGGAACAGCAAGTAGAGTGAAAAGACAACCTTCAGAATGGGAAAAAATACTTGTGAATTACTCCTCAAACAAGGAATTCATAGTCAGAATATATACAAAACTTGAGCAGTTCACCTATAAAAAAAAATAAATAAACACTTAAAGACACACTAAGAAACAAGGTTTTACCAGTCTTCCAGGCATCCCTCAATGCAATCAATTTGGTATCCAAAAGTAAACCATCACTTGTTTGAGTAATGTTCTCTTATGTAAATGTACATATGATTTTCTAGTAAAGAAAACATGCCTTCTGTTTTTAAGTATCACTTTATTGTTTTATTTTGAAAAATATGCATCTTAAAAACATTATTTGTTTCTGTCACACCCTATATGCTTTGTAACATATGTCCTATATTTTGCAATAGAAAATTAAAATCAAATACATTTTAGTTCATTTTTAGGGGTGTTAAATTCATATGTTAATTAAAACTTGGCCAGATATAATAGTGACTCTTATACACTAAAAAATTTTCTCTGCATTTGCCAGATGTGAATATTGGGTGGCAAAGAGAGCCCTGCTCATCAGATGGTATTAGAAGATTGCGACAATTACATGTTATATAATTGAGATTGGATTCATGTGACTTGATAAATACTTGTATGAAATTATCGTTTAGAAATCAAATGGATTATTATTACCATTTAAGAACAAAAGCTGAATTATATTTTAGATGCCATGTTAAACTTTAAAAATAAGGCTTTACAGGAACCAGCAGTTAGCGTAATGGCTATGTCACTGGACTCCCATGTAGTTGACTGCAGTTCACGTCCCAGACCCGGTGGCTTAAAACTCATGCCGGGCGCATGTGCGTGCGTGCCCAAGATCCCTAGAGGAGAATGGAGGAGAAGGGATTGCGGCATGTCCATCCCCCCAGGGGGTGATTTCTCGCTTTCTGTCTCTATGTCTCTGTCTGTCTGGTGAGCGCACGCGCCCTATAGCAAAAACCTCTCCAAAATGATAATAATAATAATAATAATAAATGTTTTAGTACCCATCAAGGTATTTTATAGTTAATATATGTATATGTCTAAAAACGTTTTATTTATTTTTAAGGGGTTTTTATTTTTTTTGGTATGTGTGCTCACTGGAGAGAGACAGAGAGATAAAGTGAAAAATCATTTCCAGGGGTACTGGCCATGCCACAATTCCTTCTCCTCCATCCTCTTAGGATTTTGGCCATGAACATACATACACCCAGATTCTTCAAGCTGCCAGATCCAGGCTTCAAATTGTGGTTGGCCATGTGGGAGTCCAGTACCTTAACTACCATGCCACCTGTGGGGCCCCCATTTTAGCTATTTTATGAATGATAGAATGATTTTGTAAATTTAAATAAAAACACCAACCATATTTAATGCTTATTTAATTGTTACTAAATTTAAATATACTGTCATATAAAAAACAGTATCATATGATAACTAAAAGCAAAAAATTGGGGATTGAACTCTTGTCTGAATTCGGCGGCACAATTGGTGGTTGTCTACATCTGTGTCATTATGTTAAACTACCAGAGACTGCATAATTTATAAGTGATAGAAACATTTTTCTTGGGAACAACAGATGGTATAGTGAAAATCATGCCGGGCACACGTGTGTGCGTGCTCAAGATCCTAGGAAGAGAAGAGATTGCAGTGTGGCCATCTCCCCTGGGAGTGATGTTCACTTTCCCTCTCATCGTCTCTGTTTCTCTCTGTTTCCAGCAAGTGCTCGCACCCTATGATAAAATACCTCTACAACATATATATATATATATTATATATATATATATTTCTTATAATTCTGGGGGTTGGGAAATCTAAGACAAAGGCACCAGCAGGTTTGGTGTCTGGCAAGGGCCCTGTCACTGCTCCCAAGATAGAATCGTGTTACTGCATACCCTGAAGAGGACAAACCCTGTGCCCTCATGTGGAAGAAAAGATGGCAAAGGCGAGACCCAATGCTGTGTGAGGCCTTCTTCCTAAAGACTCTACTCCATTCAGTGGGGAGAAGGGTCCTGAAAAGGAAGAAGGAGCACTTATTATCCTTTTAATCTCATTATATACATAAAGCAAAGAGCAAATACATTTGCAGCATGTATTAAGTGACAGATGATATTCTTGTGCTTTTTATTTGTTTCTTTTTGTTAGCTTTATTTTCTTCTCATTACTTTCTGAACTTTAATGGCTTATTAATGTCTCTAAAAATTAACTAAGTCTGCTAAGGAAAGTTTTGAAATCCTCAGAAAGAACAAGTCAATAGACAAAGTACAAAAATGTTATGAAAGTAAAAGTTACACAATTACGTTAAATTACATAATAATTTTAAAATACTATGTGATCTCATAAGTCAGTACAAATGACAAATCCATTTTCCAGTAATCATTGCTATTTAATATTTTCCAACATTTTTTAAAAATATAGCACTACATATTTATTTACCAAAGGCCTAAAACTTAGAGTCATTTTCAAGTTTTTTTGTGAAATGTGCCAGCTAGACATTGTTTCACATATATAGTTTTCTCAGAAGTTCAAAAAGTTGCTTTGGTTCTTAAAATAAGAACGCCTTTTTCTACAGTGAAAATAATTTCCACTAGTTCAGAAAAAATGTAATAAAAGTAATCATAATAAAATTAAAATAATCTAGCGTATCAACCCATCATCCAGTGTACACTGTCAGCTTGGTCACATTATTCCCTCCAGCCTCTTTTAAGTGGAGGGATCAAATTTGAGATTTAGAATATGGGGGTTAGAATCCTGGATCCTTCACTTACTAATGAGTGAATTTGGACTAATTATGCCAAAACCTTAGTTGCATCCTCTCTAAAATGGAAATATTCATTAATAAACCTCACAAAGAAAAATGATTTAGAAAATAATGCTAGGCATACTTCCTGCCATAGAGTTAGTGCTGTGTGGTTCATTATGTTTAATATTATCATTTATACCATAAACAGAAGCAAGATTTTTTCTTTTCCTACTTTATATAGTTTTACAGTATTAAAGGCATATATCCATAACGGTGACACTCAGTCTAACATATATTAATTAATATGTATAATTCCCGTTTGACCACACCAAATGAGTACATTACTCTTGGTCTTCTAATGGGAAGCTTTACAATTCCTCCTTTCCCACCCCGTCCCTCTCCTCATCTCTACAGAATACCTTCACATGGTCCCTGTAGAATTCCCACACCTTTGGTCGTGTTATGGATTCGAGAAGTCTCCACTGAGTCCAGGTTGATCTCTGTTACTGAGTAATTTTTCCTCATTCATCGGGAAATCGTCCGACTCCACAGTGTTCATTGAAAGAAATCCAAGTTTACTTTCTTCTTTGCAGCCTGAAAGAGACTAAAACACATTCCAAATACAGATATAGTAAATACCTTTTATCTTTTCGTTATTGTCAGATAGAATATTAGGGAGCCTGCAATTTTTCAATAATGTAATAGGTCTGTCATAAGCACTGCCAATAAAGATCTATTCCAAAGAAGTGTGCTAGAGCTAAAATAAATGTAAGGCTCTTGCTATACATTGTAAAATTGATTTCTAAAATTCTGTTGCAATAATATATGACCACACAAAGGTAGTGTGTTACAAAATCACAGTGCTCCCACAGTGCTCCTGTTTTTATTATGCCGTTATGATGGAAAACATGATTTCTCATCTCGTTTCAGTTTTGGTTATTTTTTTCTCTCAGAAATAAATAGTATATATTTAAAATAAAGCAAAATAAATAGCATAGATTTAAAAGAAAGATAAAATATTTATTACTCTGATGATATTGTCAAGAAATAATGTTAACTCTTGCTTACATATCTTCCTGGGCATTGTTTATATACAGGTATTGTTTATATTATTATTTAGCTGAATTTTTTTTAACTTAACAATTTGATTTTATAATTTTTCCATGCCAAGAACTGTTCTTCCAGTTTATTATTTCAGCTAAAATGTAGCATTTCCTTTTAATGTTATCTTATAATATTTATAATAATTTTTGTGATCATTATTAAGCGTTTGGGATGTTTTCAACCTGTGACATTGTAAACCCAGCATGATGGCCATTACTGCAATTTTCTTTATTCTTGAATGTGCCCTAAGAAAACATTTTAATGTAATCAAAAAAAAGTTTAATAAACACTCACATTTATAAAGAAACACAATACTGGAATCAGGAAAAAAATGTACCAGTGTGCTCTCTCAACACTCTAAGAATTCAATTTTTATAGTTATTCAAACCTAGGCATAATGATTCATTTATATGATTTATATATTTGAACTTAAAATAGATGTTTTTTTGCTGGCTTAATATTGTCTTTCTTTCACATTTATTTATTTTATTTTTTGAGAAGAAAGAGAGGCAAGAACTCTTGATAGGATCTCATCGTGCCAGGGTCTCCCTCAGCCTTCTAGTCAGTCAAGATCACGGACTGGTACATGTACCTGGCATGCTCAGGTTGCCTTGGGATCTAAATTCCCTATGGCTTCCATAGCTGCAGAGTGGAACCCTACCACCTGTGTTGCATGGTTGGACTAGCTGGCTATTTTTCCATTTAATTGATGTTGTAAAACTTAGAAAAATAATTAACAAAAATTTATATTTCTTCCATTGAACTGTTATGTTGATTTTTTGTTTTTATTTATTTGCTTTTTAATATAGGGTCTCATTATCATGATCCTCCTGCCTAAACTTTCCTAGTAGCAGAGACTACAGGCATATGCCACCACACGCAGCCTTTTAGGTTGGACCTGGAATTGAACCTGGGTCTCCAATGCAGACTCTCTGTGAACCAGAGCCCCCTTATAGCAGTGCAACCACTATGGCTGGGCCCATTTTCCTGTTGCTTTGCTGGTGTTGTAGTTATTGTCGTTACTTTTCACATATCTTATACTTCTTTGGCGTAATAGAGACTTTTAAATGGTTTGTATCGTTTTAGCTGTTAAGGTCATTAATCTTTATTTTATCATTTTTGTTCCATATATTTACAATTCATAGTTTCACTTCTATGTGTTTATATTTGATATAGACCTAAACACTACTGGGTTGTCAGAAAGTCATGATGTATTTTTCTATGCAAAAATGTGTCATGACTTTTCTGATGACCCAATAGATATTGAAATCTAGTTTCTTATATGTATATGAATGTATGCAGAAAATATGTAATTATTTATTTACTTAGATATTTATATACACTTAGGTTTACTGAGATATTTACACTTGGGTTTATTTAGGTATTTATATACACGTAGGTCATTTCATGTATAGGAAGAGCTTACATAGTCAGTTGTCAAATAATATTGGATCAAAAGTTTATTGACGTGATTAAGTTCAGCATCACAAGGGAACAGTCATGCTGATTTAATTTACCCAAATATGATTTGTTTGGAAGTGTATTTAATCTTTGCAGTTTATCTCACAAAGGACCAAAAACTTAGTAACGAGAAAATATCAGAAAAATTGAAGTTGAGGATATTCTACAAAATATTTTATCAATTCTCATTAAAATTGTTGAAGTCAGGCTAGCAGGTGGCATAGTAGTTGCCACACTGGACTGCCACATGCCTGATTGTCGTTCCAGTCCCATACCCAGTGGCTTGAAAATCACACCAGGCTCATGTGCCTGTATGCCCAAATCCTGGGAGGATAATAAAGGAGGGGAAATCGCGCTGAAGCCATCCCCCCAATAGGGGGTGATTCTTCACTTTCCCTCTCAATTTCTCTTTCAGTTTCTCTCCTCTCTTGCATATGAATGTGCCTTAGAGCATAAAAAATAAAAAAAATAAAAAATTGTTGAAATCGTGGAAAACCAGAAAAAAGTGTCACCAATCATAAGAAACCAAAGTGATGTCATAATTTAATAAAATATGGCATTGTGAATACGATCCTGTGGGAGAAAATTCTGGAAATGAAAGTGTAGTTACTTGTTTATTTGTACCAGACCCAGAGGTGGTAGCATACTGGTTGATATCACAACTCGGCAAGTTTCAACTGTGTGGAGGAAGGCCAGGATCAATTCTTGGCCCATCCTAAATAAACAGGCACTGGGGTGCACACTTCTAGTACCTGCTAGTAAGGATGATGAGGCAGGAGGATCATGCCCTAACCAGACTTTATCTGCTAACATTTTTTTAAATTAAAAAATTGCTATGTCAGTTTTATTTCTTAATTTTGACCAATGTGCTATGATTAGGTAGTATATTAATGTTAGGAAAATGTGAGCAGAAGGTATATTACAACTTACATCATCTTTTTTAATACATCCAAAATTATTTTAAAATACATTTATTTAAAAAATTATGGTGGTGGGCCAGCCAGGTAGCGTGGTGGTGAGGGTGGCTGGATCCCACATGGCTGACTGTGCAGTTTGAGTCTTGGATCAAAGAACTTTTAAACATGCTGGTTGTGTGTGCATGCCCCAAATCCTGAGGTGAGATGAGATTGAAGCAGGTCCTTCCCTTGTGGGGATGCTTTTTCACTTTCTCCACCCCTCTCTCCCCATCTACCCTACCCCTGTCTTTTCTGGTGAGTTCATGTGTCCTATGGCAAAATTTAAAATATGAAAATACAGTGATTCAGCCACGGCAGTACGATGCAGACAGTATCAGACTGCTCTGCAGTGCTGGAAGCCACGTGTGAGTGTGGTTTCAGGTAAGAAGTGAAGCAGAACACACCAGGCACATTTACCCTAGATCCTGACTAGCGGGAGGGCTATAGCAAAGGAACAATTCAACCAACAGTTCTAGAATTTAGAGATAGCAAACGTGAGTAAATCAAAGTCCTCTTCAATTGTCAAAAAAGCACATTTTGTTAGGTTCTTTGAAATTGCTTTAGTGCAAAGGATGTAACAGTTGAAACGTAGTCCAAGAATGTACCTTCTAATATTTCCAATGAATATTAGATTAAATTAAGTCCTGTCTTTCATACAATACTCAGTTTTTAGATCGTGGCATACTGTCAACTCTCCTTTGAAATAAAAAGTTACAGGATCAGTCATTTGTTGTATCTTCATAAGTATTTTATTTTAGCTTTAAATTTTTATTTTGTTGTTAGCAATGTAGTAAGCTTTTCAAAAGCTGTTTTAACTTTTATAAATATTAAACTTATTTATTTACTTATTTATACTCAATCAATGTATTATTACAATATACCACATGAATTTTTCCACTGTGAATACACTGTATATTGGTTCTGTCAAAGTCATTATCATACCTATTATCATCAACAGATAATTTTCTATTTTTGTGTCCATTAAATACTTTGTTTTGTTCTTTTCCCCTTGATTCCCTCCCTCTTATGCTCCCTCATTTCCCACCCTCCTCCACACTCTCTCTAGTACCCACAGTTGCTCTCCATGCTTCATACTTTCCAATCTTTTAGTTTCTGCCACAGAGTGTAGACATTTGATATGCACTTAGTAGGGGATACGATGCCTCTCTTTCATAGCCTGCTTGCTTCACTTAGTAGTATATCTTCCATATTCATCCACTTTTTATCAAATGCCAGGGTCTCATTGATTTTTATGGCTGAGTAGCATTCTGTATGTGCCAGAATAAATTTTGTTGTTGTTGTCGTTGCTAGTTGATTTGGGCTAGCCAGTGGTGAAGTGATTAAGCTGGCTGGGTCCCACATGACTGACTAAGCAGTTTGAGACCTGGACATGGAGGCTTGAAAAGCACACTTGGGAGGGAGGGAGGAGTAGCAGATGGCTTAGTAGTTAAGGTGCTGGACTCCCATGTGGCCAACTGTAGTTCGAGTCCTGAACTCAGCAGCTTGAAATTCATGTCAGGCGTATGTGCACATGTATCTAAAATCTTAAGGGGAGAATGGAGAAGAAGGGATTGTGGCATAGCCATCCTTCCTGGGGGGAGGGAGTGATTTCTCACTTTCTCTCTCTCTCTCTGTCTCTCTCTCTCTCTGGTGAGCATGTGTACTCTCTAGCTATATATATATATATATATTGATAAATATTTGATATTTCACACACTGGACATCGAATGTCCAAAATCATAAAGTACATTTTCTATCTTAGTAGAATTTACATTTTATGTCTTGGTAAAATTTATTTCACTGACTATTTGCTTTCTTTATTAAATGACCTTAACTATATTCAAGTAAAAAAAAAAACTTTTTTGTTATATAAAAGTTCTTTATAAAATGAATTATTGATACAAATAAACTTTAATTAGCAAAATTTAGCTAATCCCCCAAAGTAATTAAAATGTGAGTGATATTTCTCAAAACCTTGAGATAAATTGGCCTTTCCTAAACTTCCAATGTGATTATATTTTACTTATATTTCCCTCCTTATTATGTTAGCAT